GAAAACAATCATAGAATGAAAGAAACTAAAACCATTTCCCGAGCAAATATAAATTTTTTGCGGCTCGATGATTGCAGAATATGTTCTATCTCATAGAAATTTCTCTCTACTTCATATTTCCTACACTACAAACATGTTATGCCTTCGGATCAGAAGAGAGATATGATCATATATATTCCTTAACTGTTGAAATTTCATACACAAATCTTCAAAAAAAAAAAAAAAGAAGAAAAAGCCAACGGTCTTTCGACATGATTGAAACTGAAAACTGCGTACAGATATTGGGACTATATTTCCCTATTCAACCTCTCAAATACTATCTAATACACTTCCGGGCTTTTTTGTGGAAAAAGTACCAGTCTCGACCACAAAGTGCTTTCGTGGACTGGATCAACTCTTTCCCGTAATGCACCAAAAGAAGAAAATCAGGATTCCCTCCCACTAAACCTCCGCATCGACATAAAAACTATGCAACGGACTGGCCTCTTATATGAATCGTGCGCAGAGAGTCGGTGTCTTTTCAAAGAACGATGGCTAACATTTCGGCAATTCTGCCTTCCTCAGAGTGGCTAAATTACTTATATGGGAAGGATCAGCGATGTGTTGTCACATACTATGAAGTCTGAGGCATAGTATGTAACATCACACCGTTGGCCTTTCCCATGAAAGTAATTCAGCGACTCCTCAGAAGGTGAAATCGCAGAAATGCTAGCCATCGTTTTTGGAGAAGATAGCGACCGCGCGCAAGCCTTCTATATAAAAGTAGGACAGAAGATGAATAAGATCAACGAAAATTCACAGTGCGAATCAGGTCAAAGGGAACAGAAGCGACATTCATTCTCTCTTTTGTTCAGCTACTATTGTTACACTCCTCGGTACTATATGTTAGACGACGACAAATCAAAAACCGATCTCATTTGCTGAACAGAAATTTTCATAGAAGTATTGGAAATCAATCGAAAGTTTGGATTTCTGGCTAGAACCCCATGTGGCCGGTTTTCTGAAAAGTCTCTTCAATAACGCTGTAAAGTCCAAAATAAAATTACGTTTTCACATCCATCGTTCAGCCTTCCTTTTTCTCACGCGTATAATTCGCTGGAAGCCCGAAAAGCATATCAACGTGTACGAAGATTTTCTTAGTACCTGAGTCCAGTCGTTTTATATGCAGGTTTTCTTTCAAAACAGAGAAAAAAACCCTATTGAATAACAATCACATCAAATGCGATCGATCGCCCCGTCTTGTCCAGCCCTCCCCCCTCGCTTCGTGAATTAACCGGTAAACAAGCTCGCCAAAAATGTAAAACTCAGTCTTATTTTCCCTGGTAAACGGCATATGCAGATATCAAGCAAAACGTTGAAAACATTGATACTTATGCTATCGATGATTACTTATAGTCTGAGAAAGAGCTCTGTTCGGCGAAGTGTGAAGCATAAATCTTTCCTTTCTCCAACCGCGCTATTGAAAGAGCTTTTTTCAAAAAGCAAACACATTTTGAGATCTTTGAAACTTTTGTTATCGAACGACTACTAGCACTCAGAGGAGGGAGTTTTGTCCTACAAAATATAAGCGGGATAAGAAAAAAAAAACACGTGGTTGTGTGAAACATAATTTTATTTGAGATTTTACAGCGTAAAAAAGGGTGTATTGAAGAAAGAACCGGTCACGTAGCCGTAACCTGAGATTTAAGCTTTTGAATGATTACTAACACTAATATGAAAATTACCTGTACAAGCTAATGAGATCGTTTTCTCATTAGTTGTCGTCTAACAAACAAGTAACCATTCCTCATCTAACTTGACTCAGTAGATCACGCACAGGAGTTAGACTGTTGTAACTCCCACTAACTTAGGGAGCATTACCCATCGTCGTTTGTGTACAGACATATAGTTGCACTTGCGGTCGTATTATGAGTGAACTTTTGTTCACGTAGACCTACGCAGATTACTTTCACTGTGACGCATGTGATATAGTGGTTAGAGGTGCTTTGCGTAGCACAAAGGGTCGATGGCTCGATCTTGCGCTCTTGGCTCACCAAGCCATCCATCCCTCCAGGGTCGGTAAATTGGTACCAGACTGCACTCAGACTTGTCTGGGAGGATATCTAGCACTGACTCGCTGCAGAGGGAGGCCACCACGAGTCATTGTAAAGGCCAGATATGCATTCAGTCACCTCAAACGAAATTAGAAATTGAAGGCGAATGCATGGCGTATCTGTCAGGGATTGACCTACGCCAAGAGCTTTATCGATTCATCCTTCTTATTATGAGTTCTGCACTTTCACTATGCTATCATATCATACTGTTTTACATAGAGATTTCATTACCAAAGTTTACAATCCGTGATGCACCACCTAAAGAATTTCTACGTAAGAAATGGATTGTGAGCATTTTCTTCCGAACCTTACTTACATTTTCACACATTTTTGTACTCCATCAAAGATAAATGTCCATTTTTACTAGAGCTAATGAGAAGCATTCTATACTAACTGTTGTCAGATGAGAAAAACAAACAAACTTTGATCGCTTCCTGTCCAGCAAAGCCTCCGACCATCGCACACACTGCTGAGAGTTGAGGTCCGAAGAAGCTGCAAAAAGAAGAGAAAAACTAATATCAAAGAATCAATCGTGATCGATAAAGATCCCCAATTAATGAATTTCTCCTTTTCCTTAGATAAAAACTTACTAATCAAATTTTTTCGGGTTGCACAGACTGTTTGTTAATATCGTGGTTACCGAACAATACCTGCAATGAAACAGTTCAAAATATGCGGAAAAACCTAGGATTTCCAGTTATCGAAATACCTCTTCAGTCCACAATTTCGTAAGAACGCTTATATTCATCTCTTCGTTATCTGTTAACATCTTTTCTTTTTGTGCACGTAGCATTGCTAAATTAAATGATTCTTTGTTTTAATGATAGATAAGAATTGCTCCAAGGAGATCACCTTTGAGCGGAAAGTAGCTAAAAGGGATCAGCCGCTTGCTTTTACGAATAAGCTGCTTTTTTGACCAGTCAACGTTAAAAGCATCTTCGAAACGGGGATACTGCATCACCTACAAATGAAGTGTATTCGTATCAAATCAGTGGGTCGATGTTAATGTAGAAACCAGCCGAAGAAATTCAATTATCTTCTCTTTTTCTTGAGAAAGTATCAAGGATAAATGTAGAGGATAAACCTCTTGGAATTGATCGATCTCTCAGGGATTCTGTCATGCATTCGTCTCCGATTTTTAGCTTTTCGAGGAGACTCATGCATATCTGGGTCAAACAATGACTCGCTGCGGCCTAGTGACGAATCCAATCAATGGCACTATTCTCTCACGCAAGTCATCGAATCCGAAAGAATGGAAGACTTGGTGAGCTTCAAGAGCGGGATCAAACCACTGACCATCGATTGCTCGATCATATGCGTCACAGAGTATCTCTAGCCACTGCGCCACATGGGCCCTTTGAGAAGATATGAAACGGTGTGAAGCTTGTCTACCACAAATAAACATCTTTTTATCTCTAAGAATAATGGAAAAGAATCGGTCACATACATTTTTCTCAAAGAGACCCTGCTCTGCATCGAGATCTACTGTCGTCTCAGCAGAAGACGTGTTGCCACCAACATCAACATCACAAACTCCCTCCTCCTTTTTCACTACAGGACTGAAAGACCCAGATATGCCTAGTATACACAAGGTAATCTTTAATATACAGCGATCACTCTTATACCAAATAAAAAGATGGTTGTTGAAGTCAAAGAAGGAGTAGCCCATCCAGCCAAAGACATTGCAGGCAATGAATCTAAAGGAAAAGAGGTATAAAATGATAAAAATTTTGGCATTAAACCAATGATCGGATAGGTATCACTGTTACAAGACTGGAACTTGTTAGAACGTACCTAATATTAAATTGACGGCACATATCATTCCACATAATCACAACGTCGTACGGCTGATCACATAGAACGACGAGAGTGAATTGAGAAAGAAAACCTGGGCTGACGTCTGTGACACAAGACTCAACAACCTGGAAAAGATACGAAGAATAAAGTTGCCTACAATATCGCCGGTGAATTTCCAACTGACCTCTAACTTCACCATTGGATTAAGAGATTGAGCCTTGACCGATGACGCTTTTGCCCGCTGCAAAAAAGTATTTACTAAGATGATATAAATCCATTAGTGAGCACACTAACATTCTTGCCAATCGAAGTCCTCATTCAGCAGAAAATTGGAGTCCAAATCACTTCTGCTAACGAGTTTGTCGTCCATTAAAGTGAGTGATCGAAGTCCACACAGCATCAGATTCTTGGTAATCTCTGCTCCTACACCACATAACCCGCAAACCAAAGCACTAGCAACATGTAACCTGAGTATATACCGAGTTATAATCACAGCTTTTAACACACTGATCACCTCGTGCTAGGTGCCATATTCCTAATTAACCCTTTCGAGACCGTTCGATGATAATCTATACCAGCGCGGGCGACGTCACCTCCCGCTCAGCTACTGATTGTAATGGCGACATCGTCTTTAGGGTCATGACAGGCAGACAGTATCTGCAGGTATCAGCTCGCTGATCCTGCCTGCCTGAGACCGCCGAGCGAGAAACCAGTGCGACGCCGCTTGTCATTAACGGCGGTACCGAAAGGGTTAGACAAACAAAACACCCACTTCTTTTGTGCCTCTAATCCCCATAGTCGTATTTGACGATCATAGACTTCCGTTTCAGCTTTGCTTAATCCTACAGCACAGCCATTACAATCTCCGTTGCTCGCCAGTGGTGTCGAATTAGTCTCCGGTTGCATTCTTGATATTCACCTTTAGGGCAATAGCCTGAACTGTCTGAATCACAGTCATAAAATCAAAAGTTAACATGTAACACCACAGTATGCTGGATTTTTAGTCTCCTCAATGATTCCTGGCTATAAAATAGACAAGCATTCCTTGTTCTACCACTACAGTAGCAGTGATATGGTGCTACAACGATCAAAAGCCTTGAGTGATATATGTGACTCGGGCAGGACTTGAACCCGCATCTCACCTTTTCCGGAGGTACGGGCTGACCACTGCAACCAAGGCTTCTGCTCTTCTATCACTCTTTCTCTCCAACACCTGCCAGCTCAACTTGGTTTAACGCCGGTATGGGTAGTTCCCGTTATCCTACCAATTCCAGCCCCTCAAGAATAACGCGTTTTCTGCTTTTGCGAGTGTTTTCAATTCTCGAGTTTAGTAGGGTTTGGTGAGGTTAGTTTTCTGTGGGGATCTGGTCGTCAATCGACGGCTTACACCTCAACAATTTTAAATGACGCACTTCACTTCTAAAAAGGCCTTTTAAGTGTGCTGCAGTAGCAGAAAAAAAGAGTTATGCCTCACACTCGGACCCATCTTCGCCCAGATCTCTGTTTCCCTTTAAGGATCATGATAGTCACGTTGATCCTCACACGCGCGACATCGATTCTCACTAAGCTGCTGTGATGACGGCGTCGAGTCTCGTGGAGAAAGCAGGCAGACAAGCCAGACACGCAAGCACGGTCGCTTGTTTGACTGCCGCGCAAGTGACGGTACGACATCGCCTGCCTACCAACGTGGTCCTCAAAGGGTTATTTACTTGAGAATTTTTTCTGTTTCGCAAAGACTACTCCTTTTGCACCGTAACTGTAGAAGAAATTGTTCAAATCGTGGGACTTAGTCTGTTCCATTTTACATTGCCAAATAAACCCTCTAATAATTAACCTAGACAAGCCTATGCACGGAAAACATATAGAACATGTGGAGGAAATCAAGGAGTATCACAGTCACGTGTTCTAACTAAAATTTCTTTCAAACTGAGAAAAAACCCGGAGACTAAGTAACAAATATCGCGCGCTAGATGTGAATCGCGCTATGCGATCAATCCCGAGCGATCGATACACAGCAATCCACACACAATAGCCGACAAGAAATACGACGCCGAGTGCGAAACCTAATCTTCTTTTGGCTGTTATAATGTGTCAAAGAGTCTTCTTCGAAAACCAAATATATCATTCAAATCGTCGAGATTTGAGCTATCGATGAGACTAAAAGGCCTACGGAAAATGCTCTGTCCAGCGGAAAATGCGCCGTACACCTAAAGCCAAACTTGATTTGATTTGATGCTACAGTGTATCAAAAAGTCCTTCTAAAAAAAATTGCAGCTATCAAAACTGCCAAGATTTAGGACTATCGGAAATACTTGAACTTTAGAAAAAAAGCAGATAACGCGTTGTCAAGAGGATGAAAATGACACCGATAACGGAAACGTACCCCGATATGTGGTGTTCAGCAGGCCATACCCGTTGACGATTCGTTGCTCACGGCCTCGATATGTTAGACTGCAGAAAAAATGATGGCAATAGGGACCCTATTCTATACAGTGGTAAGCACGCGACTCTCGGAAGAGTAAAATGCGGGTCCAGCTCTCTCTCTTGAGGTTTCAAGTATTCCATAACACTCAACATTCCTCGATTTCGTGCTTCGATTCTGAGCCAGTGAAAAAATCACGTCAGTGGAATATTACACTCCTTCTGTTTCAAGTTATTGGGTTGAAAGAAATCCCGGACTTCTTCCTTTTTCTTAATTATGTTCCATGCACTTAGGTTTTTGATTTTACCATCGTTAAGAGCAGCTTCTCCTAGTTATTTTGATATATAACACTTGTAAATTTGCTCTAAGATGGAACTGTCCCAAGAGCAAAGACGATGATTGACGTTACACGAGTCTGATTTGGGTTAATGTGCTTCTGAGACTTTCCGCCGGATTAGCGAGTTCATGGGTGACGGAACTGCTGCGAGAACTGCAGACTTGATCGTTTCAACGAATTCAAAGCTGGATAAAGTGATTTGACGCACAAGCAAGGAGCCGACTGTCCAGAAGAAATTGACCGGAAGTCCGTTCCGAATGGAATTCAGACGTCTCTGTCGTACTCTATTCCATCTTGAAACAAATATATAAGTGCTACATCAGAAAAACCTCGTTAGGGTGCTCTAAATGACAGTAAAAAAAAACCTAAGTACATGAAAAGTAATCAAAAGAACAAGAAAGTCCAGAGGCTTCTTGTCAACCCGTTAGATTTCCCTCTTGCGATCCAGAACTGAAAGGCCACATTATGCCTGACAATTCTTTTTTGAGCCATGCATGTGGTATGCTATAGGCGACCAAGGCCGACAATCAAACGTGTATTGAGCTTTAAAGTAACCATTATAAGCAACATGCATGGCTCGAAAAAGAACTGCCAAGCATATTGAAATTTGAGCGTTGTCTTGAAAAACACTCGAAACAAACGGTATAAAGGCTTCTATTGTTGATTTAAGATAGTAGCCGATTTTTACGAGATAGATCCGAACACAATACACCCATAGGAAAAAAATCTTTCTGTCGGTATTCCAGCACATTAATGCAACATTCAACAATACGGAATACATATGTATTTTACTACAGGATGTCTCCGTACTCCGAAAAGTGATAGGATATTCTCAGTCGCGTGATATAGAACAGCAATAATCTCTGACTGATTACATTGTACTCATGGATCTACTCTGGCAACCTAAAAATACCGTAACCTGGTCGTCATTTACAGTTGTTCAAACTCAAACAGAAATAGCAAATGTGTCTGTACATTGTAGTACGCAGTACCTATACCCGGTAGTGTTTCAGATCAACCCCTAGACTGCCGCGTGGTCCGAAAATAGGCCACGGTTTGCTTCACCGCACGCGCAGCAGATTTTTCGTACCGACACGAGCCACAACGGGAAGCGCCCAGCTAGTCGATGCACCAGTCAAGGGGTTAACGAATGGCGAGAAGAGAAACGAGAACGATCAATGGAAACAAGAATCGAAAAGTTGGACAAAAAAGGATGCACTAACAAGGCCATTCAGAAAGAGACTATACATGCATCATACGATACGTGCATACATATGTGTATGTACATATACATATATGTATATATATATATATATACGTATATATATATACATGTATACATACATACTGTGTACTTGCATGTATTAGTGTGAGGAGTAGCAAATGTCAATAGATACTCTGAAATAGACGAACATTGATCTGTGATGGTCACAATGCTCCATTACCGGGAATCTATCCATACATTTAGATACAAACAACTGTTGAACACAATGTGAGCACCGTACGTCCATAATGATTCTTCACAGTGAGTACAGAAGATTGCAGCGCTTTACATGATCGCAGGGAAAATCGAGTTTCAACTAAGTGCCTGGGCACTGGCCACATTACTCCACGTCCCCAATCCGATATCGTCACGGAATGCTGTCGGAGAACTCAACGCACTGGGCGAATTGACATCTCGCTTCACTAGATTTGTAGGAACCTAAAAACTCTCATTGTAAATAGGTTTTCGGTGTCTTTGTATGCAATTCCAACAACATGTCTATGCATATCAGGCCGCTGCAAAGACAATAGAAAATTTTTGTCATGATAAAATTAAGAAGTATTGTTGGTTAGCACTATTTCATACTTATGTGTAACAAGGGCACGTGTAGCGCATGGTCAGAGGTGTCCTGTGACACACACGTGGTCGATGGTTCTACCTCGGGCAAGGTTCAGCGAGCCTTCGATCCCTACAAGGTCGACGAAATCGAATTAATCGAATTAATACCGAGCTTGTCTGCGAGGATAGCAGCAGTGACTAGATACATCGGTAAGCCATTGACAGCCATTTTAAAAGCCACACATTCATAAATCACCTCAACATGCTCAATGAGTCGCAAGGCGCATCCCCAGGGATTAGGTACGAAATATTGTTTAAATAACCCCTACACTATTCACTATATTCCGATGTGAGCAACCATGTGGGGTGAGGACAAGGGTTCTACTGTAATGAACTGAACAGTCCTACTTCGCCTATAGTAAAACGATTAAAAAAAAAGCCCTTGGCGATGATAATCCGAGAGGGATGCGCCATGTACTCTACTACATAAACGATCGCTTAGAAGACTAAATGCAGTTCTGGCCTTCAGAATGACTCGTGGTGGCCTAAGGATGAACCGATCCAGTGCTGCTATCCCCTCAGACAAGTCTGGCACCAATTTGCCGCCCTCACAAGAAAAGATGTTTTGATAAGCTACGAGTGTAGGGGGCCCAATCAACGATCATGTGTGTATCGTAAAGGACCTCTAACCACTACGCCAGACGCGACCAGTCGTCTTTGATATCACCTTGAAATCACCAGAAATGCAAATTCAACTTCGTATCAATGAAATTTGAAGCAAAATCTCTTTCCAAAAAAATTCATTTTGTAGTTCACTTTTCAAGAACAAGGTGGTACAGGTGGATGTTCGCAAAGGCCTGGTGTCATTAGTTAAGAACACCGCTTTATCGATAGGGTGAATGGCAGCATCTATGATGATACATCATAGATTCGTCCAAATAGACAATGTACTATTTCGCGGACCACGATGTCAGGGAAATTCTTATCTCGTAAAACACAAATGAAAAGATTTCCCCAATACGTTCTAGCACAAGTGCTCTTTCTATTATTTCACGAACCGCACATTTGTATTGTACGGATCTCGATCTTTCAATATTCGAATTCGTCTCCTTGTAATCATCGCTTGCTTGATCATTTCTTTAAAAACGCCACACTATGCTTGTTGGGCACATCTTGTGATCTCAAGATTAGCTAAGCTGCAGCATTTTTTGGTGCGTTCGTTGATTTTCGGAGTTGCTTTAGGGAAGGAGGGAGGTAATGACCGATACCGCATCGAGCATCACTAGCCACTCGGCCACTCCCCTCAACAGAACTTATAAGAATCGAAAATGTCTGTACAGTCTACATTCTCTATAATTTCTGTGGTAGAATATCGCTCTGTATATACGGAAAAATGTCATAGTAGTTAACAAGTAGTGGTTACCATTCCTGGTCTTGCCCAAGTACAGATAAATCCTTCTTGCAGGCCGTGACCAAGCAGTCCCTTCGAAACTCGAGTACGGTTAAACGTTCGTGTGCTATTTTCTTGCAAATCAAAGGCTCTGTAAATATATAAATTAGGAGGAACGTACTCCACATGAAACAGAAGTGAAACTTTTC